AGAATAAATACACTATAGGCCTAATTGAATACTTTAGGATATATTTTCTTAGTTTTGAATCTCCACGTTTCACACGAACACAATGATAGATTCACAAATAGCCAACTTTTAATTACAACATTAAAACCACAGCTAACATGCGATTAGGCTAAAACATATTACAGATGAAATAGTGGCCAGTCAACTCCTTCAAGTATCTATTTTTTAATCATTCCAACAGCTATGTATCTAACCCCGGTGCACACACACGTCTGTATACAAACTCGCTGCATCAGGGCAATATTCAATCACAGCAGCACTTTAAAGTTACAGGCTGCAGGGCAAATGTGCAATTTACACCAATAGGCCTATAATCATGTGCAGTACTGCAGCACTTTACACTTTTATACTCCTACTCTTCACCTCCCATATCAGACACTTTTACTCTGAAGGTCCCTTTATCTTTGTATGTTTTGAACACCATCGCACTTCCACTTTTTATGCTCGTATATCAATCTTTATTTGTTATCTCAGGACACTTCACAAAGAGCAGGTTAAAGACCTTACTCAAAGACCCAGCGTTAATCCATCATGAGCACTTGGCAACATTTAGCAAAGTAACAGTGGAGGGAAAAAAACTTCCTTTGAGGAGGCAGAAACCTCGAGCAGAACCAGACTCATGATGAACAGCCATCTGCCCAAACTGTGATAGAGGGTAAGGTGCAAGAAGAAGGATAGTGACAAACAGAGGGGAGAGCGGGGGTCCACAGCAGCAGGCTGTCCTTACCAACTAGCCCGAGGAATTTACGAGAGCTCCCAGGAAAAGATGTGGTTAAACTGAGATTTACATATAGTGACATGCAGTGCTATGATGCACAGAGAGAGAGAGAGTTCGATCCCCAGCTCCTGCAGCCACATGTTCGATGTTTCCTTGGGCAAGACACTTAACCCCAAGTTGTTATCAGCCGCGTCTGAACTTCTAATGGTCTCACTCCACAGCAGCCTCTACCATCAGTGTGTGAATGTGTCGGTGTGACCTGAGGGGTAAAATCAGTTTGAGTAGTCAGAAGACTAGAAAATAAATAAACAAGCTCAAGTCCATTACCATTTATTTGTTATATGTGTTTCTGTCTGCTAATGTACAGTTTATGTGGTTGTCTGGTCATTACTTGTTGTAGTTTTATGTAAATTTGTGAACGTGTGAACCACCAACCTGCAGCTGGACTACAGGTGGAAATAAATCTGTGGCAACAATCTGGTACATTTACATGTTAATGTTCATTAATGTGCATTGGCCCTATTTAAAAAATATATAAATGTTGCTTAATAATCTGACAAGTTTGCAGGGTAGGCTTCTGTTGTTTTTTGTTTTAAGTTAATGCAAATGAGTTTTATTTAATAAATCATTCAATGATTTTACAGGTGACAGACTTGATGCAAATAATAAATTGACATCCACATAGAAACATGAGCACGCATCAACAGTAACCAAAGGACCTTAGCAGCAAAGTACCAAGGCCGGATTCGAACCCAAGGCCGCTGGAAAGGAAGACAACAGCCTCTGTGGCGCGTGACATAACCACTATAGGCTAATTCTTCTTCTTCAGATGTTGATAATCACTGCATATTGAAATACACCCTATGGTCTTTTTTCATGACAATCGTTTAAGGTAAGAAAGAGTGACACACGCCCCATTTTAACCAATCAGAATCCAGCAGCCTCTGAGGACACTGATGGAGCAGAAAAACGGAAAACTAAAGCTACCTGCCTCCTCGTTATATAGAAACATGACTAAAAAGAAAAGAGCACCGGGAAACCGGAACATAACCGAGCTCCAAGGTCACAGAAGGTCACAGAAGGCCACGTGGGCATCGTGCGCGCGCACACACAAAGTGTAGATTTAATATATGAAGGAGGAATTAAAGTGAAGTGACCAAATGTCTTGGTCTTAAGTTTGATTTTAGTTTTTTCATCGTAAAGTCCAAGAATTTAAGAAATGCTGCAGGAGGGGGGTCCCAGCCTGAGGTTCTTGCTTTAGGCCTGTATGGGGGTCCGGAACTCCCTGGCCTATATCATTAATATGTAGAGTAAATAAGCATATTACGTCACTTCTTACCCAGTGGTCTTTAAATAATAACGAAACATCCGCTAAATATGAGAATAAATATTTTTAAAATACCGGATTAAACGATGACGTCATCCGTAGTGATCTCTCTCTCTTCGGCCTAATTGATATCACTCCTCGTGCTCTGTATAAATTATGCCCATAGTAATAGTGTGAAATGGAAACGTAATTGATTGTGCAGATTTATATCATACGTGTTTGTGAACGAGCACGAGGACTCATTTATTTCTCATCAAGCGACATTTGGGATTTTTGGATTTCATCCTCCGGTAATGGATTGGACACGGAGATTCAGTGTCGCTTTAAAGGAAGGAGCGAGGTATGCATCAGGACTCTGTTTCCCATTTGACCTCTCTTCGTTTCTCCTTTTTTTCCTCCTCTCTCTCTCTGTAATATCCAGTTTCAAAAAAGATCAACGACATTACGACATGGTCACGTTTGTCCGCGTGAAGACGGATCGGTTTTTATTTCCCTTTGAGGAATAAGTCAGCAAAAGAAAACACAAGTTAACTATCTGATAATAGTTCATCCTTACATGTTTCCCAACATGCAATAAAGTACATGCCCTTTGTGTTAACTCTGTTCGTGTAATGTCCGTGATCAGGACTCAAAGAATCAACAACCACAGCGCGTCATTACGTCATCTGTTTTTATGACAAATGTCAAATCAGTGAAAAACAAAGGTACGTTTCCCGCCTCGTGAGCAGATGCATTCAGAGTCATGATAGGCCAGTCATCCTCCTGAAGGGAGTCTTCTCTAGCAGCTCAAAGACCCCCTGTGACCTCTGCTTATTTTAAACACAGCGGCCACGCATTGTCCGCGAGCGTTTTTGACGGCAGATTCAACATTTGAAGTGTGTTTTTTTCTCTTCTTCTTCTTCTTGCAAAGCCGCTAAAAGAACTGAATGTTAATTGAAACCTACTTTGCCTGTGGGACATCTCTCTTCCCGTGCGTAAATTAAGGTGAATAGCATGGGGGGACTCCGGTGGGGGGCCCCTGTTGGGTCCTCGTTATTGCTCCGTAGTCCATAGGTGAGTGGGTTAAGACATAAAAGAGCCGATCAGGTGCCTTGTGTGCGCGCGCACGCGCGTGTGTGCTTAATAAAGATTTATGAGTAAAAGCTGCTGCCACCTGATGGGGGTGAAGAAGGGTCAGCAGAGCGGCTCTTCTCCTTGTGTCCAAAAACAAGAATTTACTTTCATTTGGATTCAGCCGAATATCATTTCTTAAATTTCTTCTTACGTGATGCTGTGACGGAGAGGGCGAAGCAGCCTTTCTCCGGATGCTGGACAGAGAAGTTAAACGAGCTTTTGTCTGATTTCAAAGCTCAGGAGCGGAACCTTTGCTTCGGTGATTGATGAGGGACTGAAGGATGCTGTGACCCTCGATACTCACCGCCTGATAGAAGAGGAAGAGGGCCACAAGACGTCTCGCATTTAGATTTTTTTTCTATGACAATAATGATAATTAGACATTTAGAAAAACTTTTAAAAAAATACTCGGCTTTCAGTCCTGGACCTAGACCGGCTTTACGGCCGCCCTGGCGTCGTCTCCTGCTGTGGCGTACGTCCCCCTTCAGACTGTTCTCGGCTGGCTGGTGCTCAGTCTGAAACCCGCAATAAATTCCTGGAGGTGCACACACTTTAGCGCCATTTGTGTAATTTAATAAGGTCATGGGGTGGAAACAAATTAGGGCGTCGTGTGTGATAGCAGACACTTAAGTTTTGGAGGATTTTTACGCACAGAATGATGACCACATTTGGAAATACAGTTTTTTTGTCTAATCAATTCTGCGTAAAATTCTGCAAAGGTATCCAAAGTTTCAGTTTCACCTCATGAGGCGTTAGGCTGCTGACTTGTTGAGTGAAGCAGGTTTAAACTTGTCATTATTACATCTGAAGGCTGAGACGCTGCGCAATGTAAAGCCGGAGAGAAACTTATGTAGCCTACATGTGAAAATATTAGTGTGGAAATAAATATGAGGAGCTCGGCAGTCGTCACTAATTGTGATGACAAAAACGTAGCTGACTGTTTTGGTGTCAAATGATTGATCCGCAGAAGTAGGCATGTATCAATTAAGTCAATATAATGTAAGAAAATAATTTATGTGCAGTGCATTTCAGAGGCCAGGTGTTATGTCGAGTATTGCACGCACCTCGCAGGACGGTGCAAAAATATGGCAGACAACATTTCCACACTGCCGTAATTAAATGAACTCGACAGACACTTTAAAGTAAAACACTGTTTGCAGCTCATGTTTTCACAGACTGATGGAAAAGCGCCTTCTATCGAGTCTACAAAACAACAAGGTAACTTTAAAGTTCACAGACTAGCAGGGATGCATTTCTCGGCAGAACACCGGCAATAATTAGGTCACTCCAAATATGACGTTTTTCTTTTTATTGTGAGATTAGTTGTTTTTATAAATTATTTTGAGGTAATAATGAATTGTGAGACTGAGAATGTTTAGTTGTTTTATTTTCCTACATGATAAATAAGTCACGTGTCTCATGAACATGTTGACGTTTTAGTCGAACATAAAAATCAGGAAATTGTTTAGATGCTTGTGTGAGGCAGTAAAAAATAATATATAATGATCGTACAAGGACCCATAGACTGTGACACACACACACACACACACACACACACACACACACACACTACAGTAAACGCAGTGTCTCCGTCGTAACTCTTGTTTTTGTGAATCGACGCCCCTGTCTCGAGCTGTGACAGACAGAATCTCTGATAGGTGGAAAAGTTTTGCAGACTCGGCCAATCCCCGCACTCATCTGAGTACCGGGTGTACCAACTCGACCAATCAAAGCTGGGAACGCTGACAGGGCGAGAGAGGAGCTCGGCTACTTTTGACGGTCTCCTCTCACTTTGAACCGGTGTCAACAAACAACAACAACAATTATCTCGACCTATAAGCTACGCCGCCTCAGCAGCCAGATATTCAAGAGCGAATTAAACCGAGGAGACGGATACATCCACATTTTTTTTAACTCCTAAAGTCCACTTTTCTTCTTGTTCTTCCCGTCAAATTTGCCTCCTCAGAGGTTTACGGCTGTCCCGGGACACTGGGGCTTGGCTGTACCCAGAACGCAGCTTACCTAACCGAAGATATTTTCCTTGGAGCTCCGCAACAGGCAGAATAAAGTGACTTCATCGGTGTGTGTGTGTGTGTGTGTGTGTGTGTGTGCAAACCTCGGTGACAAAGCTGCAGCCTCCGCGTTATAGGAGGAGGTAGTCTGCAGTCTCTGGGGTTGGTGGTGGTGGAGGTATGACTGCGTTGGCGGGGTCAATACCCAGGATGATGCGACCCACGCTGGCTCAGAACTACCCCCGCACTGGCTTCCCTCTGGAAGGTACAGCATCACATCACCAACACGGAGGTCACAGCCACGGAGCTTTGTGGGAGACGTTTGGATGTCAGTGCTACTTAGTCAAAAACATTTACTGTTGTTTTGATGTCGTCAAAGACTTTTTAATCCACATTGTGCCAAACCCGGACTAAAAAAAAAACAGCGTTTAAAGGTTTAAAATGTAGGATTAGATGATAGGCTACTTTTTAATATAGCTGCTAACTTTTATGTACTTGGTAAACTTTGTTAACCCTGTTCCCCCCCCCACAATTTTTTTATCATAGGCCTAATTGTACCATATTTTAGCATGCTTGTTTATTTACTTTTTAATAATGGGATACATTAGGCTTCAACTGGAAGATTTAAACACCCTTAAACTTTAAATTAGGTGGCTATATGCATTAAAAATTGAAAAGTAAAAGATGCTATTATTAGCTGTTTTTGAAGAAAGTTTGCTGACAACTTTATTATTGAATAGTTGGTTGCATTTGTGGTCATTTCAAACTTAGTTTCCATCATGTTTTTTGTGCAGCCTGTAACGTTATATTGACTCGTTCCTGTCGTATTCTAATTCAATGTAGTGTCCACCCCGTTGGGTCAAGGCCGGGTGAACCAGCTCGGAGGAGTTTTCATAAATGGTAGACCTTTGCCCAACCACATCCGACATAAAATCGTGGAGATGGCCCATCACGGCATCAGGCCGTGCGTCATCTCCCGGCAGCTCCGGGTCTCCCACGGCTGCGTGTCCAAGATCCTGTGCCGGTACCAGGAGACGGGCTCCATCAGACCCGGGGCCATCGGGGGCAGCAAACCCAAGGTAAGGACCTGAGACAGGAGATCACATAACTAGTTTTTCTGTAAATGTTGTGTTGATGGTCAGAGCGCATGGAATAATCAGTGTGACTTCTCTGACCCCTGAAGCAGGGGGCCACGCCGGACGTAGAGAAGAGAATAGAAGAATACAAGCGGGAAAACCCGGGTATGTTTAGCTGGGAGATTCGAGATAAATTACTGAAGGATGGGATTTGTGACCGCAACAACGTCCCTACAGGTAAAAAGGGCAGAAATTAACCAAGTCGTTATTAATAATATTAGGCAATAAATACATTTTATAGTCTTTATTTGTTCCACGTCACATCATCATTTAACTATTTTCAACTTTAACAACATCACTTATTTATTTAACCCTCAGGCATCAGTTTAATTTAATACCCTCTTAAGTCATTAAGGACAAAAATGTCCAAAACATAGAACAGATTCATATTATTTTCTGCCTTTTTTGCTGCAGAAATCTCTTAAACAACTTCAGCCCTGCTCAAAGCAACCAAAAATTCAATCATTTTGAGGATTTTAACCCTTTAAATGCCAGTTTGATTACATAATTTTATTTTTAATTTTTTTTAAATATCCTCAAAATAATTGAATGTTTGGTAGTTTTGAGCAGGGTTGAAGTTGTTTGTGAGATTTATGCAGAAAAAAGGCAGAAAAAAATATCAATCCGTTCTATTTTTATAGCAGTTTTCTTGGAAGTGGACATTTTTGTCCTTAATGATTTAAGAGGGTAGTAAAAGAAATGTTCACAGTGTTCTATTGACCGATTAGAAAAAATTAAATTTGCATTCCAAAATTTCAGTCAAGAGAAACTTTCTTTCTTTCACAAAACATTGGGCCATATGCACTAACACAGCCAAATGAAGCCAGATGAAGAGGAAACGTTTACCCAAATGAAGAAAAATGATGCATGAGGGTTAAGATGAATTATTTAATTTCCTCTGATTCACTGCAGCTCCGAAACACTTTCTGAGTAGTTTAACTTTTACATTTACATTTTAGTTACCCCCTCCTTTTTTCCCCCTGAAGTATTATCACATATTATATTTTCTTGTGCACAGTGAGCTCCATCAGTCGCATCATGCGGAGTAAGTTTGGGGGCAAAGGCGACGAAGAAGACGACGAAGATGAGATCGAGAAGAAAGAGTTGGAGGAGTGTGACCGGAGGGCCAAACACAGCATCGAGGGCATCTTAGGGGACAGATGTGAGTACACACTGAAGCTCTCACTGAGGCACATAGGCTAAGAGTGGAAAAAAAAGAGTCTGCATTCTGGCTGTTGTGTTTTTATATATTTGTGATCGCACACACAGAGGAAGCATGCTGCATCGGATAGACTCACTGTGAAGCCATGATGGAGGGATTTCACGTCTTATTCTGGTCTATATTTATTCCAGAATGGAAGTTATGTTGTGGTGAAAAGTTAGCGGGCTTTATTCTCCATCCAGGATTCTTATAGATAACTGATTCCATCGCTGCAGGTTACTCGTGCAGAAATCATTTTCATCACATCCAACCTGTTGAGTGCTTGAGTCAGGGTGCAATGTGCTTGATGTATTATCGGTATTTAGGCTTCAGGTGAAGTTTGAACATGCTGTAAAGTTGTTGGCTGGGGGAGTGGGGGTATATGGGGGGTTGGGGGGAGGAGATGTAGAGTGAGTTTCCTCCTTTCTTAGGAATTCTTTATCGACCATATCTCTCCGGCTAATGATTTTCCCATGAGGCCATAATACCGTAAATCAAACAGCAGGTGATGGCTCCGTGCGGGAAAGGACTGTGGGTGTGTGTGAAGAGAGAAAGAGGAGAGTGTGTGTGTGTCGTGGATGAATAGCCACTTTACAGTAAGTGTGCATTATTCTAAAAAAAAAGTCAACTTGTGGACTATGAGTAGCCGATAGCGGACACGCGCGTGCAGCAGGATCATTTCCTCTTCGTCACTTTAAAGTCTGAATGCTTTATAAATTATGGAAACATAATTCACATTCCGCTCAGCTATAGTGCTCGGAAGAGTCTTTATTTATTTATTTAATAGGCTGCAACAAATGGGTTGGATGAGGCCCGTCGTGTTTCAAACACAATGAACACATTAAAGAAATTCAGGAAGTTGTTTTTAACGTGCACGTGCTGTTTCTTAAAACGAGATAAATTTCCTCACATTAAATCTACTGTTCCTCCAGAGAGAGTGTTTCCCTCCTCTCTCACTAATTAATCCTTTTTAGGATGGATTTAATTTTACAGTGTAGGCCCTTTAATACTTCTCTGTTAAAGTGGAATATGTTCAAAGTGAAGGAATAAAATATGACTCCTGCAGGAATCCTAATTTGAGTTTTCAGTTTGTCTTCATTAATGAGTCTCTACTCTCCTCCTCCTGCTCGCTCTGCTATTTATTTTATTTGGCACTTTAAACCTGACTTAATGTTTTAACTGTGTGTGCCTGTCTGATAAGGGTCATTACTATATCCGGCCCATTTCAGCACGAGCGCTTTTTATGTAAAAAAAACGTCACAATGTTCATGATCTGAGTATTTGATCTTTTTAAAGTATGAGAAAAATATTATAGCTCAGCTCAGCATATTATCTATTCATTTTGGATAAATTCTCTGCACATGACAGAGGTCAATTTATTATTTATTTATTTGTATAGCGTGAATGAAGTGTCCACCTTGTTGCGTCACATTCACGTCTTTATTACGTATTTGTTTTGAATGATTATTAATTATCTCAGAGCTCAAATGTCCCTCACTTTACCCTGGAAAAGGATTTGTTATACTTGAAGGTAAAACTTACTTGAAGGAGCTTTAAAATGTTTTAATTGATAATTAATTGATTTATAAAAAAAAGTGTCTTTGTTGTCCGCAGCGAGTTGAATTCTTAATTGTTCCCTAATTGAAGCTTTCAGTGCAGCTCGAGGGAAAACAGGGCCCGGCTAATTTCTGGGAAAACCACTAAGGTGAAGTACCTGTCCGAACTTTCTGTTTAACTTTTGCTTTCGTGACGATGCCTAAAATTAAAAACCGGCTTCCATGAGTCTGTTTGGGTCTCTTACATCCCCAGACCCAGAGACTAAACGACCCCCCCAATTACGAGTTGTTCAAATATGACTTTTGGAAAAGGTGAACATTTAACCCTCCGTGCCCCGGTTAGCGCGTCCTCCTTCAGCCCCACATCCTGGTGACACAGGGGAGGAGAGATAAAGGGGGCTCCGGTCCGAGGAGACAAAAAATGTCCCCCAGATGAGTTGATCAAACATTTGTTCAACGGTTTCCAACTCCCTACAAAGACACGCCTCGCGCGCACAACGGGACGCTCGCGGATGAACTTGATAGACAAAAGCGCGAGAGTCTATTTGGGGCTCACGCATGGGCTGCGCGCGGACAAAAGGGGCCAGCTTGGAAACAGCTTTGGCTGCCGCTAAAGAAGAAGAAGAAGAAGAAGAAGAAGAAGGCAACCTGTTTATAATTCAGTCAGAGAGGGGAGAAAGGGGAGAGAAAAGCCCCGGATAAACACACTGTGAGGCCGCAATGAAGGATGAATTATTCAGGGAGAGCTCCGGCACGGTTTAGAGGGAAAATGGCCGTTTTCACCTACAAAATGTTTCCTTTTTGGGGTTTGGCTAAAGAAGCTCTCAGCCTTTCAAAGGGACAATTGAGGCCTCTGAAATCCACTCACGTAGCCTGTTGCATGCGTGCTCGCTCCCGGAGTGCACGCGGTTACACACGTGTACGCGCAAAAAAAAAAAGAAGAAAGATGTTTAAATTTAAACTTTATTAATACATTTTGCGGATGTATTTTCAGTTTTTTCTCGACACCAGTGAACTCTGAATAACTTTCTTGTCGTCTCTGCGCTGTAAGCAGAATAAGTATATTTGAATGAATCATAATTGTCATAATATTCAGACTGTAATTTGAGTGTCGCTGTGCGCCCTGAAGGATGACGATCACGTCAGTAACTCATGATCTATGATTGGTTCTTTGATGGGCGGCCGCGATGCCCCCTTGAACATTAATAATGTCCTCTAAATGATGTCGATATTGTGCTATGTCACATTTAATGACGGAGGGAGTGTATTAAAGAGTGTTTGCGGGTGAATGGGGACCAATGTTCTCCCCGGAGAGACTCGGTCTGCATGGCCCGGAGCGGAGCCTCACAATGGGGGCCCCGGCCACCCGTCCTGCGCTGCGCACAGCTCCAAAAACTCAACCTAACCCCCCCTCTTCTTCTCCTTCTCCGCCACTTGCTCCCCAAATCTCTTCAAGCAGATTAAATCGACTCTTTTATTTCATCGCACTTTCATCTGGAGAGCAACACCGCCCCTCTCTCTCCTCTTGTTTCCTGCTCGTCCTCTGCGCGTCTCTCAGCCTGCGGCGCACAGCGCGCTTCAAATCTGCGCGCACAAAGGAGAGTCAGTGCTCATCCATGGCGTTTCTAACCGAGCTGTTTATTAACGTTTAACGGGAAAATCACCGAAATATGTTTATGTTTCACTTTTACACGCAGTTAAATCTGAAAACGAGCAGCTACGTTTGGATCTAAAAGTCCGTTTATTAAACTGCACACCAAACTTTGTTAAACTTTTAAACCAGGTCATAAAGCTCCAGCAACATCTGATAATTAACATCAACTTTAATTAACATCAACTTTATTATTTATTAATCCTGGTTTAATTAAGTTAAAGGAGTTGTGCCAGAAAAACCTCTGCTCTGCTTTTGCTAAACTTTTAAACCTGAAGATTTGCACATTTGAAATTCACATTTTAAGTCCACATTTATTGTCAGCAGGTGAAATAAAATCAAACCCTAAAAACACATTTTAAGAAATGTTTGTTCTGCAGACCAAATCTGTACACTCTGTTTTCCATGCACTTCCATGTTGGACACATTTATCTGCTGTTTTATCCAAAGGCGGCTCCGAGCATGAGGAGAGCAGAGGTATTTTTAAAAAAGCTTCAGGAAAATAATTGAGATATTTTCATAATTTAGATACATTTAAAAAAAACATATAAATCAAACCACATTTCTTCCCCCCATCTTTAAAAAGTAAACAAGTTACCAGAGAAAGGAATCGATTCACAGAAGTATCCCCCCCCCCTTGGTGAAATATTTTTATATCTGGCCGTGGCTTTCACCCCGCAGGCCTGAGACTGGGATGTACCAAACACTCAGCATCACAGTCATTAACCCTGCAGACAAAGTTAATGATTAAAACATTCATGCTGCCCCGCCTCCTCCTCCCCCTCCTCCTCCTCCTCCTCCTCCTGCTTCACATTTTCACAGTGTATCTTTTGGAGTCCTCACTTCGTTAGGTGAAATTAGCCAGATAATACAGAGGAGCCTTGTTGAGGGCCGATACATTTCCATTTAGGCCAGCAGTGTGTACGCACGCACAAACGCACAAACACACACACACACACACACACACACACACACACACACACACACACACACACACACACACACACACACACACACACACACACACACACACACACACACACACACACATTCCACTCTGCAATGCAAACAGTCAAAGGGATAACTTTATTTGGTGAAAGGGGATCCTGGAAAGGGCTAATTGAATAAGCCGGGGATCTTTGAAAAACCCCTACCATGGTGAGCGCAGTCATCATGTCATAATTAGGTTTATTGAGGCGCATTCCTTCAATCTGCCTCCATTCCCCCCGGGCTCTTTGTATCCGAGGCCCGGGCCAATGGCCGGGGGACAAAGGGGGAACCGTGAGCCAACAATACATGAAAGAGCCGTAAAGATTTAGCCTGCTTTGTCACAGAAACCGAGGAGGACTTTGTTTGTGTAAATAATGCGTGTGAATGGAGAACTTGGGACTCTCTCTCTCCGCCACTCGGGGTGAAGGACGGCGTGCTGCAAATGTGATATGTTGGCAAACACTGGATTAGTGCCAGAGGAGGAGAGGAGAGGAAACTAGGAGGTTAGAGGAGAAAGAAACTAGTAGAGGAAACGAGAGGAAAGGAAACTAGAGGACAGGAGGGGAAAGAAGAGGAGAGGAGAGAAAACGAGAGGAGAGGAGAGAGAGGAGAAGAAAAGAGGAGAGGAGAGAAAACGAGTAGGTTAGAGGAGAGGAGAGAAGAGAAGAGGATAGGAGAGGGGAGAAAACGAGTAGGTTAGAGGAGAGGAGAGAGAGGAGAGGAGAGGAAACTAAAGAGTGAGGAGACGAGAGGTGACAACAAGA